TCGGGCAACCCAAATACTCTCCTCAGCTTCCAAAAATACAGGGTCTGGTTCTTAAGTTTATAGTTTAAATGTTCCAGCAGAGAGAAATAAATCTTGCATCAGATCTCTTTGGAGTTGTATGAAACCCCATAAAAGGGTTCAGTATCATGTGCCATGTCCTGCAAAACACACCACCGCGGCTCCTCCAAACAGAACAGACAACAAGTCTGTTCAAGGCACAGTAGCAGAGGAATTCTCTTTCCTCCCAATTTGGTGGCGAATCCTGAAATATGAATGTACTATTTTTTTCTTTTCTTTTTTTTTCTTGTGGGGGGAGGGGCAGGGATATGGACACGTTTGTAAATGCACGGTTCAGTTGTTTAAAATGAAGGCACCACAAACAGAACACAATGTCAGAATGAGTTTGCTGTTATCTTCTGCAATTCAATGTTTAAAACAGACCAAATTAAAACAGGAAAAAACAAATGTGAATAATAATGAAGAGGAGTGACCAAGTGAAGGATTTAATGAAAATATACTTGTTTGCACAAGGAAACAGTATTGCTTTGAGCTGAATCATTTTCACAAGTAAGGCATGTTCAATGCATATAGAACCATAAAGAGGCAATGTTTATGAACAAGAAGCATATTTATAGTTGGAAATACATATAAAATGTATTCATACTTCATTAGACACGGACGTAGAATTGTGTGCAAATAATATTGGATGCATTCATAAAGATTCATTAAAATTATACAGTTAACTCATTTTGAAAATGTGGCTCAGATAATTTACTTTAAAGGGCATGCCATTTAGAGGAAGCAGCCACCCTTCTCTAGTTCTCCAAGTCAGCAAAAGCACTTCCTCATGTGAAGTCTAGCTTTGCTTGCTATGTACAACAAATTACTTGTTTAAGAGTCTACTGTAAAGGGCTTTGCTCAGAACATTGCTCCCTGAAAACACTTAAGGCACATCCATAGGAGGATTTTTAACTTTTCATATTGCATACCTACATCGCATACACTATATATTTTTGTGATTTTAAAGCAGGAGACCTAATGCCTCTACTTTGTATTGCGTCTTTCAGTTTGCATACTATGGCTTAGATTTGGCTTCTTAAATCTCTCACAGGTCAAGTAACTACTGCAAAGATCTCATGACTTGCCTTTTATTACTGTACATTTTGAAGTGTGGGTTTCCCCATCAGGTTTGTCCTTTATGAACTCCCTGTGGCTGACAGGGACAGAAACATGCTGCTGTGAGAACACAAGCCTTAAATGGGAAATATCTTACAGAAAACATCACTGCTAAAGTTACCCCAAAGAGCATTATCATAAAGCTGATAGGGGTAAAGACTGTTCCAAGTCCATCTGTCAAGAAAGAGCTGAAAGCTCAAAAATATGTTCTTACAGACCTTCAGAACAAACAGAAAAACAGCATTTGTATTAAAAGCACATTTAAACCATATAAAGTACTGTAAACAATATTAAAAAAAAATCAAGACACATCAGTTACAGATGATCAAAGGGAGAGACAGTTGAAAAGCAGAGTATTTTTTTTCCTTTTGGCAACAGCAGCAATTTTGGCACAAAGGCAAATGCAGAAGATATAGAAAAACAGGCAGATAGGGTACAGAGAGAGGTTACAGAATCTACGACAAGCATGCCACAGTTCAGACACAGTAACAGCTTTCCCCAACTCCCCTTCCCTGGAGAGAAGGGCATCCATCACCCAAAAGCTTGTTGCCACTTCCCAAACTGAAGGGTTGATCTATATTGCAAGAGCCAGTTTGACCATAACCTTCCTGGGAATAGCCATGTAACCCACCATGTAAGAAGCCATGCAGGCTCCCCAGCAAACCAGGCAAAGCCCTCACAAGAAGGGTGATTCTAGTTGACTGCTGAAAAGACCTCAACTTGCTTATCACTGATTGCACCCTGCAACTATTGTTATTACAATACAAGAAACAGACAAAAATACATTGAATGCCAGCTAAGACTGCAGCCACCTAGTGAGGGACTGATATCTTTAGCAAGTTAATACATGTCAATCAGGTTAGTAACACGTCACAGGTGCTTGTTGTGACCTATCTTACCTCAGCTGACCAAACCTTCTGAATGTTACTTTGTGGTTGAATGTACTTTAAAGCATTAAGCTGTCTAAAAAAGAAGAGGCTAGATTTGGTGCCATAGCAAAAGAGGCAGTGAATGGAGGGGGAGAACCATGCAATTTACATCCAGTTGGGATTCCATGGCAACTAAAAAGCAGGCCTTGCACCATAATGCTCACTGAACAAGCACTTTCCTAACTAAGGGCTTAATTGAACTCAGGGATATAAAATTTAAGAACAGTGGGGTTTTTTGTCTTGTATATTCTTTAATTGATGTTTCTGCTGTACACCTCCCTTTTGCCTTCTAAGCTATATTTACATCTCCATCAAATATCAAACCTGCACATTTTACACTTTTTTTTTTTTTAACTTAAGCATTTTAGAGAAAACTTACACTCCACATCAAGATCTACCTCACTACTGAGGATTGGTTCAGGCCTCAGGGTCTGAAATTGCTATTACCAAATTTCATTCAATGGTACTTGCCTTAAGGGAGGTCAAACATATTCAGATGTATTGACCTGTATTAGACGAGTCTACCAGATGGGTGAAGTGGAGCCTTCTGCCTCTGTCTCCATTTCAGACAGGTTTTTGCTTGAGATATTTGTCTACTCTACAGTGAAAGCAGAATGTCTATAGTATCTTAAACAATTTAACAAACTGCAAGAAAGCATATATACAAATAGTTCAAAGTCAGGAGTTATATATACTGAGATGTAATCATATAGACTCCTTTGATTATTCAGGAATAACATCCTATTCTTTCACTGTGTTACCAAGCTTGGCAATTCAAAAGGGTTTGGTTTGGGGTTTTTTCCAAACCATATGTAACTGTAAACATATCGCAGGTTTCCTGACCTACCTACACAGCAAGAATAGGAGCTAAAGTTAGGTGCCTACAGGACATGACTTACACTAACAGAGACCTGACCTGCCTTTAATGACACTGTGGCTTGCTTTTAAAGTACACTGTATTTAACCTCCTCCTGCTTCTTAACCATTTTTAAGATATACTTAGAACCTACTTTACAAAGAAAACGAAATTTCAGCCATTAAGTGCATTTTTCTATCAGAAAGGGGGAGAACGGCAGAGACACTGCTCACTCTTCTACCATTAATGCACTTCTGTCATGCACACACAAGAATGCACCACTATACACTGCCTTAAAGATGACCTAACTCGATGCAGCTAAGCTGTGTATGTTCTAATGTACTTTGTGCACTGCAAGAGGCAAAGCTTTAAAAGGTCCAAAAGCTTAAAAAATTATGTTACAGTTACACACTGCTTTAAAAAGCAGAAAACAAACAGAAGGAGCCCTAGATTTCAAGTTTTGTCATTTGATAAAATGGTTTCTGTTCTGTTTTACTCCTCTGGAAATATTACAGTTCTGCTACAGCATTGTGCCACCACTACATAAGGAGAGATGGAAACATACGATTTATAGCTGATTTATAGATGTTTATAGCAAGCCATGGCCAATTGTTTGTTCTACTTAGTGTTCACTTAGGTGCTATTTACTGAATGGTCACTTACAAAAGTGGGTAATTAAATTTGATCAGTTGGAATGACTAAATCAGAGGAAGGAGACTTTCTGCCAGCAATTGCTTTGATAAACTAATTGATATATATAGTTAAACTCTCTTCCACTTCTCATCATCAAGAGCTTCACTCCATAAACCACCTTATTCTCACATCAGATGCCCTACGGCCCAAGAAATATTTTTTCCCATTCCTTTTAAATATATGCTCCAGCTAAAAAAATCCCAATTCTTCACTTTTAGAGAAAGCAATTTTAAGTCTATCCAGTTGCACAAAAAATGCTGTAATTATCCCATCTGTTCACAATATTTTGCAAATGTCCTTCTTCCATATCTTTTCCTGTTCCTCCATTTTGTCATATGGAAATTCCACATAAACAAAAGAGGAAACTGTGGAAGTACCTACACTGAAGACACTAAGAATAAATCTCTGTTGGACTGCATTCAGTTACAATCTTAGAAACACTTGTAAGAATAATACACACTGGTAAGAATACTACATAAAGTCAAACAAAAGCATGATTTTTATTTGCCTGCATGTTGGTACAGTTTTTTCTCAACTAGCACTGAGAAAACATTCTTTTCTCAAAGTGTTATTCTAAGTATTTTCTCTCTCTAAAAGCAGCTGATTTACTTTATCCATAGTGTTCTAGAACAAACACTAGAAATCAAATCTCTTCCTTTTTCTGACATCACTACATGAATACTTAAGGGCTGGGCAAACGAGCATTTGTAGCACAGACTTTTCTCCCATGTTAGAAGGAATTAGAATTTCAAGTTAAAAGGAAAAACTACTTCACAGTAAGACACGCACATTCACCACCCCGTTCCCAAAGCCATGGCCAGGAGCAGCACAGATTCTGGCAGTGAGGGAAGAGCACCATGACCTGCCAGCACCATGATATTCAAGGGGTTTAAGGAATCCAATCCCATTAGCTGTCAGAGACACCCAGAATTCCAAAGGAGACACAATCCAGAGATAATGGGATCTTCTCCATTCAAGTACCAGATAAATGAAGAGAAGCTTAGGAGAACAAGACACCACACCCATAATTCAGGCAAACACAGAAATCCAGTTTGAGTTATTCCAGTGCATCAGCAGAACTTTTGACTTCACTAACACTGAAGTGCATGCATTACAGACCAAGGCTCATTCTCTGGGCCAATTCAGAGGAGACCCTCAACTGAATATCTGTGTTTTCCTTGAATTCTTTCAGATAATGTCCCTGAAAGGACCAAGAACATCTAGGCCCCAAAGCCACAGTGCAAAAAAATACATTGAGACTTTCACATAACGCACGAAATTCACACGGCACTCCAAAAATCACACAAATTATACAACTCATAAAGATGGGTCACATTAGTTCTTACTGGTCAGCAGTCTGCCCACAGAATTCCCCTAGGATCTGCACAAGAACTTCTGACTGGACATAGAGAAAGGGAACCCCAAAAGCCATCAGCTGACACATGAAAAAGGAGTCCAAAGGGTTCTGGGCTACCTGGTGCCCAATCGAGGAAACTGTGCTTTGCAGGCGCTGGCTTGCCACCCTAACTCTGTCAAAGAGGCCGAGAGAGTACTGCACCACCCTGCTAAAGAAGGAAGTGGAGCTACCTGGGGCCCTCTCTGCTGAGGTGGAGATGGTATTTGCCCGTCCACTCCCATCACTTGCCATGGTGTCCTGCAGAGGTCCTTTGGTGTCCTGTAATAACATGTGGGAAATTAAATTCATATTAAAATTGAAAATGTACCAGCAATACTCTTTTTTTTTTTAAATGTAAGGCTATATGTACTGAACACTTTGAACTAGGGAAGCATCTTTCTCGCAATTAAGATACCCCCTAATCATCCCATAAGGGAAGGTCTGAAATAAGTAAGTTCCTTCTCAATTTATGGCTTTATTAAAGCTCTGAAAAACAAGCTGGATATCCAAGAAAGTCAAAGCAGTAAAACTGGCAACATAATTCATTTACTGTCTGCCTGGACTGAATAAGTATTTCAGCTGACAAGAAAATAAATCAAAATCCTGTTCTGAATGGGACAGCACATTATTTTATAATAAGAACCATTAAAAGATAAGTGACAATTAAAGGAACTACTTTTAAATAAAATTTATAGAACTGCAAGATCTCACAACATAAAGAGAGCAATTCAATGCACTCTGGATTTTTCTACTTTCTGAAAAAAACCCAGCATATTTACTTTTTCATGTCAAGAATCAAAACCTATTAACATGACATGTTAAATTAAAACAATGAGTTACCTTTCCTGAGAGAGGACCCACTGCTGGCCTCTTCCTTTGAGCATAACCAGAGAGCCGGTAACAGTAGTGAGGCTTACAGTAGAATTTACCTGCAGATAAAATGATGGTTAGCAATGAGAACACATCAGTTGAGCACAATATAAACGTCCACCTCACTGCAACTTATTTTCTGCTTCCATTCCCATTGCTCCATCTAGTTTATTCACTATACATGGAGGCAAACACTATCTGAAGTTTTAACTCCAGCCCTTCTCTCACCTCCTCTCCCCGTCCTAGCTAGCCTCCTTTCCATTGGGTGCCCGACAGCCATTTAGCTTAAAATCCTATCAAACACCAAAGCAAAGCTGTGAGGCTTGTGTGGTATCACACACTAACAATGCGGCAGTGTGTGAGGAACAAAGAAATCATCACATGAAAAGCTGGCAGAAGCACTTTTGGAAAAAGCAAGAATGAATACAACCAGCAGAGGAAAGTGTGAGAGGACAGTGTTAACTCTCAAAGAACCATCTCTAAAAATGCACAGTGACTACTTGTGGAAAGGACAATCAACCAATGATTAATTTTCACAATTAAGACCTTTTGTGATACTACTGGTTTAGTAACACCCCAGAAGTCTACATGGGTTTTCACTGGTATCTGAACATTATCAGGAAGCCAAAGTACCACTAGTAATATAATACAAATAATAATAATAGCAGCAAATGGATGGCACATAATTATCTTCTAGTGTACTGTTGTCACAGTATATCCTGCTTGGTATATGCGGCCCATACATCCCTTACTGCTATCCTATTCCTACAACTTTGCTAATGCATTTCAAACCTGTATTCTGAACTTCGTCCCATTCTCTAGTTTCTCTGGGCTGGTGTTTGCACAATGCTTTGTTTTATGATGGAAAAGTAACAAACCCTATCTTTTGAGAAGTCTCTGCTTAAATAAACATTTCTTAATATTTACCCTTTCCAAAACCTGCTCTTTCAAATTGTCTGAGGAGAGCAACAACAGAAAACCTCTTACATAAAAATTCTCAGACTTTGAAGCCTAAAGCCAGACACTGACTGCACAATGCTGCAGAATGCTCATCAGTCCAAACAGCTATATGAATAGCAACAATGCATGTATAGCTTTGTTATTTTTTCTCTCAAAGAAAACCCAGAATGGAATATAAACTGAATTTTCACAATTATTAGATTAGATGGGATACCTCATATTTCTGTTTGGCCATATCTCCTTCATATATATACACAACTGTTAGGCATGTAATATCATTTCAGAACCAATGCTGTAAGTGTGCTGAAACTACAAGCTTTGTGTTGCTTCACTGAAAACTATCTGGCCATAAATGCATATATAAGCTTGCAGGCAGAGGGACTCACTAAATCTGGTGGCAAAAACTGTTACAGTCCATAACAGCTGACAGAGGTACTCAGTCTGTTATTGCTAAACATATAATCAGATATTCAGTTACTTGCGAATGCCCAAAATAATATAGCAGTGCTTGAAAAATGCTTTTTCCCCAGCTTTGATTACTGATGAAGCTTTTACTTTTAGATGTTGATACCAAAATTATCACTGGTCCCTTTAAACTCACATGCCAAGTCTGCTGACCCTCCGGCCAAGTAATAATGGGTTTTCTATTCCTTACTGGGAGACGGGTTTGATGATTCTAAGTTTCCTCAACTCTCTGTGACCGAGCAAGTTCATTAAAGTAATTATGTAATGCATCACCAGTGCATGATTTTGGTTCTTTTTGCCCCTTAGGCCCAGTTGGTATTTCTCATTACTCTGCCCACCATATGCAAAAAGATTCTTCCTAGTTACATGCAGTAGATCAATTTTATAGCATTTTAATCTGCAGTAGAATATTCTGGAGTTTCATCCTGTGGCATATCAGTTCATAATTTTTCCTTCATCAATAAGTGGAGAAAACTACTGGTATTAACATTTTTTTCCTGTTATTTTGGTTTGTACACCATCATGTCTGGAGTAGAATCCTTTCCACCTAACCTTTCACTAGTTTTACAAAATTTTGCATATATTTTCCTATTGAGATAGGAGGAAAGAGAAATGGCAGCTGTAGAAGAAAATAAAGGCATACCTGCTGATATAAATAAAGACTTATCTGAGATACTTCCTCATATTTTTTCTTCAGAAAACGACATTTCTGTTAATCACTGCTCAAGCAGAGAATGCAATACAGTGCTGCTCTTAGAAGGAAATTACTTTTCACAAGTGATGTGTGATTTCAAATTATTACTTTCAATAAGCACACTTTGTTGATAAATTGAGTTTCATTTGCTGCCACATTGCCTTGGTTCTCTGATTTGCTAGGTACATGTGAAGCTTCCCTTCTTTCTTAGCATGTTAGATTCTGTTAACTGAGTCATCAGCAAGTTTTGTAATCATATTCCTTCCTCAGTTTATCAGATACAGAAAACAGGAGTCATTACTAAATCTTCAGTAACTGCTTCAACAACGCTTTCTCTCTCTATATAACATTGACTTACCTCTACTCAACTTCAATGCTCCATTTTTCACTATATAAACAGAACTTCGTCTGTAATGAGCTATTATCACAGCCCCTGACTATAAAGTTCCTATTTTAGTACATCTAAAATAAACATACCTAGTTGGACAGCTGTGATGTCTTTGAGAAGAAAAAGTTGACTGCATTTGTCTCCAACGTGTTATTTTCTCTTAAGTGGTATTAAACACTAAGGAGTTTCCTCATTTGACAGTACTGAAATAAGACTAAAGGGTCTAGCCTTCAAACTCTGCCCCCGACCCCTTTTGAAGACCTCAACTACTATATGTTTCTTTGCATTCTAGCGGCTGGTATTGTGTTAAATTAATTCCTAACAGCTCAGTTATTTTGCTGTCAGCATTACCTGTCCACAGGAAATGCATACAGTTTCAACAGTTTGAGAGATGGTGTCTTTGAAGTAGAAGTTACTTTCCTTCTCTAACTCAGCAAATAATTTTTAAGCAAAGAAAGAGGTGAAATCACTAGACAGACTTACAGGATAGTTAAAAGAATTCTGACAAAAAGGCAATTTCTCTTACCATCTTCAATATCATATGCATAAGATGACAAGCGCAGAGTTGTCGCACAGTATTCGCACTTGAAGCAACTGCGGTGGAAGAACTTGCCTTCAGCACTCAGTCTTTCCATCACGTAGACTCGCTTGCGACAGAAGTAACAGACATCACTGCCTCCCAGATTTTGGGGGAACTCCTTTTTGAGTGAGCCCTAGACAGAAACAGGCATTGCTAAATTTGTGCGTGTCCAGCCTCACTAAGATTGCATGGTCATATTTTTCTCTTCATTTATGCAGATACAGGAGCATCTGGATGCTGTAGTTCTTTAACACAATTTACAGGTTCAACCAGGACACCAAAAACTAACCTTACTGTCCAGGGAAGAAGGTCCTAGGATGCAATGCCTACATATGTCAGGAGTAAAATAAGCTCTGGATGAAAGAGCGGGCACCAATACTATTAAAAATGACTTTGAAATAAACGGTTGAAGGAAGCATATGATGGAAAGCCAAAACCATCAGAAATTCCTCAAACAGCCATTCTTAAACCTACATTATGAAAATTGATATCTCCTCCAGAAAACAATAATGCAGAAGTAGCCCCAGTGGATCAAACGCATCTTCATAAATGTGACAAGCAGTTTCTCAAGTGTTTATACACAACTCTTGGATGCTGAGATTAGATTAAAACATTTTGCAAGGAAAATGAGGACAAGAATGAGGACAGATGGAGAAAGGGAATCGAAGTCTTTCACAAAGCTATGACAGATTTCATCAGTGGTAGTAACAACTGGACACTCACAAGACTTCAGATCTACAGTACATCTAATCACAAACACGCATCACCTTCTGTACATCATCTTACCAGTTCCTTCTTGTCTAGAAGGGTTTTGGGTTGCTCTTTCCTTTGAAGCTGATTGGCTATCTGCTCAGCCAATGAGCTCACTCCGCCTGTGTACATCTTTATATACTTCTACCAGAGGGATGGAATAAAACAACAGAGCAGTGAGAAAAGAAAAAAAAAAAATCAAATTAAAAAAAAAAATGACCAAAATGATAATAGGTTAGGTGGTGAGAAGGTGCAGAGAGGTCAAATCATGCCAAGACAGTGGACAATATGAAGTGACAAGTAGTAATAGCAAAGCCAGTATCATCAGAAATCACCAGTACAGCCCGGGATCAGCTGTAACAACCGAAAAGGCGGCTTGCATTCTGCATTCTCTAAGTGCTCTAGAAATACTGTGATGATGAAGAAAGCAGACCTTTTTTTCGCTTCTGAGCTATTTTGCACCTGGAAACCCTAGCATAGACAATTCTCAAAGATGAGGCCAAATATAGGTTAAGATTTTTGGTTCTTGGTAAAGTTGGCATCAGAAACAAAGATCTTTTAGAAGACATGTTACATAGTCTAATGGTACACACTGATCACAACAGGATACATATGCTTAGCAACTATAAAGAATTCATTTACAGAGCATTCCTAGAGCAGGGAGAAATCCGTAACTAAGGGATTCAGAGTGATTCAAAAACATGAATTCTTCCAATGCTAAAAATACATAGAGGTTTATATGGAAAAAGATGCAAGAGCCTCATCCAATGCATTAAAGCCATACCTGCATACATCTGGAACATATACTTATTCAACTGTGAACATGGCTTTATGACTAGGCTTTTCTCCATCATGGGTATTGACAGACTTCATAACTTTGGTTATCTAAAAACCCTCTGGTATTCCAAGAAATCTAGGCAGGTTGGCTGTTACCTTTGATGGTACAAAATGAGTGTTTGCAAGCCAAGTTCAGTCACTGCAGGAGCGGAGGAAGTGTTATTTCCACAGGAAATACAACCATGAGCAATAATTACATGGTTAAGAAAATGATGTGGTTACGTCCCTGTTAGCTCAATCACACTGCAAACACCATGTATTTGTCTCAGAGCAGCAAGGAGCACACCAAGCAATTTTCCTTTTCCAGCCTAAGAAGCATTACGAATGTTTCTAGCTGGAGTCTCCTCAGCAAATGCAGGATGATCAGAGAAACACTCTAGCTTCTAGCAAGTGTAAAATACCAAGGATAACAGCACTTTGAATGAAAGGACTAAAGTTGTGGCTCAAAACCCCCTTTACTCACATAGCAGAACTTATTTGAAGCACACTAGTTACTTCCACAACTAACAAAACAGCATAAATTTCATATGTGTGGTCATTAGCCTTTTAGGAATGTTTGAGACCTTCACATGTTCAGACATGAGAACAGCAAGAGGCACCACAAAAAATGAAATTAACCACAGAAAGGATGGTACTTTGGGGAAAAAGGTTTTGAAAATTGAGTGCTCAACCACCAGAGATTACTGCTGCTATCACTTAAGTCCTAGTTCCTTAATCTCTGTGCCACTGCAGTAACGGTTTATTTCTATGTAGAAAGAACTTCTACCTGTCTACAGATTCCACCCCAAAATGCAGTGCACTCACAGTATGTATATAGGCAAGAAATAACATATGGTTTGCCTTTCAAAGTTTTCCAGGTTCCATATTCTTCCTCAGCTAATGTGTGCACACACAACATATGTGCAGAGTTGCCTTTCAATGTCATACATCATATCTTGTCAAATATTACATTTGAAATGGTGCCCACTGGAAAAACTTTCTTCCTTTCCTTCAACGTTATCTTGAACTGACAACAATCATTTGGCAAAGAATTTTCCATTTTCCTCTAAAAGACCAAACACCTTTGAGGATTTAAGTTTTCTTAAAAGACAGTTCTAACTTTTCCATGGGAAAAATTTTCTTTTAGCTGAACCAGGTTTCCACTGACCAAGTTTTGATTTGAAACCTTCATCCAACCTTCATGGCAGATGCTTCAGGATCTTTAAACTTCTAACAGCCCATATGAAGTTCAATGCTTAAAAAGTGATTATGCTAATCTTAACTCACAATACCTTGGACTATCAGGTGTGGGATAATTAGTTGCTGCATTTTTGATTTGGCATTCTGTGTTTCTGATTTGTTTTGCTTTTTTTCCTATACATCACATCTGGCCTAATACTGAGTCTTAAATGAAGGATTCTATCTCTCCTCCTGTGGGCAAAACCCTTTAAAATATATAACGTTCAGCAACATTTTCAACACGCTCCAGCTTAGGTCAAATGAAGTTCCTGCTGTTTATGCATGACAACTGCAACCAGTTCAAATTCTCAGTGATTTTTCAGAAAGCCAAAGTACTTTTTATTTCACACTATCTATTAAACATATGCACCACTGCATTCTGTAGTTTGTCCCAAGATCCCAACAGAAGCAGCAAGCAAAACAAGAAAGCTTTACTGCAAAGCTATCAGTGCTCAAATAAACTGATTTGAGAGTGAGATGTACCACAAGCTTTTTCATTTACATGAAGCATAAAATATATTTAGCTCCAAACTGCTTTATGGATTTCAATAACCAAGCTACGCCACAGTTTGCCTCTGGCTTCTCATTTGTTCATGAATATGCACAGACATTGTGTTCTGCAGGTGAAGCACTGCAAGCCTAGCCACCATCTTTTGTGGTGTGTCCTTGGCTGGTGGGACCAGGGTGGAGCAAGCGAACACAGCTGAGTGCACCTTGCAATGCTCAAGCTAATGCTACCTGTCGAAGAGAGTCAGATGAAGGTGAAGAAGGGCGATTAGAAGAACGGAGGCTAAGGGAGAGCTCCCACTGGTCAACAAAGAATCGGCGAGACGGTTCAGTCTCAGGCTAAAAGATAAAATAAAAATCAAAACAATCATACATGGCTACAGAGGGAAGAGAGGAGAAAATAAAAACACTCAGGCCCTTCTGCCCACCATAAAAAAAAAAATTTCTTAAAGACTCTTGTAGGAAGGCTTTGAGAAAAATGTCCAGTGTATCTGCACTTCCTCCCTAGTGAGGCAGAGCAAGTTATTCTTAATTTGCTCTTTATTAGGTTTTAAGTTATTTAGGACCATTTGGAAGCAGTTACCTACTTCCACAGATGTCCGACTTCCTGTAATCCAACCAACTAAGCCACTGGCAAAGATCCCAAATCAATTTCCTCTGCTCCTTCTGTATCTCCCATTGTTCTGTATCACTGGCCAAAGGCACGAAGATTGTATTTCAGCCATATAGAAGACATCTCTTCTGTATTTTAACTATAGAAACCAAAAGCCCACTCTCCTTGGGGATGGAAGAAAAAGACATGAACCTGTACCCATTGCTAGTAATTAGCAGCAAATTTCCAACCTAAAATTTACTGTAAGCATCACACTAAAAAGAATGAAATAAGATAAAACAATCTGCTGTTCTTGTTTATCAAATGGCAAACAATAAATCTCAAACTAAGAATTTGCCTCCTTCTGAAACTGGTTCCTCACAGGAGAACCCCAATTTGGTCCTCCAACATACCCCTCTCATTATCTCTATGGCTCATTACGCTGATCTCCCAAGAAGTACCTCACTTAAATAGGAAGAAAACAACAGCTGGAAGAATCAGACAAATAACACTTGTAAAAACTGCATTCCTACAAATTATAATCTGTAAATTTTCAAACATTTGACCCTCTTTCACAAGAAAATTATGTTTTCCATTACAAAAAGGAAAAATAAATGTCATGTGGCTGCATGACCCACAAAAATAACTGTTTCTAGCCACTTAGAATAGCCTAGCCTCAAGATTAAATCTACTGGACGAAATACAAAATAGCCTGCCTTTCACAATTTTTCCAATTTAAAGAAATATAAACAGATTTTCTATACTTAAGATCATCAACAATTACTCAAATTTATTTTCTGAAAATATCTTTCTTTGCTAAGCTTTCTTTTTCCTACTACTCTTTTTTTCCTTTAAAGTCCACATGATAATCTATCACTGCCTGCAGTGTCACAATATCTGTTTCCTCCTTTTCCTCTCTGCTTCAACCACTTTATCGTTTCCTCTACTTCATGTTCTCTATCTCCCCTATATTTTCTCTTCTCCTTAATTCTGCACTATACAGAAATCAGATTACTTCAAAAATAATTTCTATCTTTGCATTGTAAAGCTGTTAATCCTTTCCACCCTCAAAAGGAGCTTAAAAGTGCTAGAGAAGAATACAGAAGGTAGGAGCAAGATGATTTGGTCTAGATGTTCATTTCTGCATCACCATTTCAACTGAGTAAGCAAACGCACATGAGCATGCTGTCCTTAGATCATACCCGAGTTCTTAAGTTGTTTCACCCGTTAATAAAGGGATGTTAATATGTTTAAAGTAGTCTTCTTACCCAGTCTTTCATGGGTTCCTCTATGTCCCCAAATTCTATCTCAAATCCAGCCAAATGTTCACTCTTCCTTCCTCAAGAACAGCTTCACTGACTTTCATTAACAGCAAAGATAGCAACCCCAAAAGAACAGCAATAGAAAATGACCTAAATGTTATAAATTTCTTTTTGACATGGCTTGGAAAAGTTATGCCCATCAGCAAAAGTCCTGAGACTGTTTTGGTTATATTCCAGCCTAAGAGGAGAGCTTGATTTTGGATGGTTAACTCAAAACAATAAGTTATGAAAAAAATCACTTATGTAAATGGTGTTTTCCAAAAGCACTCTCCAGTTTGCCAAATGCTGTTGAAGATAACTGAAAACAGAGATGGGGCAAGCAACTAGAAACTAAGGAAACCACTGTTCAAACTGGCATGCTCCCATATGCCAAAGACAACATGCTGGAGAGAAAATCAAACACAAAACCAAACCAAATCAAAAGTGTACACTGGAATCAAATAAAATCTGTACAAGTTGCCAAATCTATCATGGGAAATAAGTATACAGGGAGCATGGACACAAAAGCAGAGCCAGGAATTATGCTTGGAAAATGTGAATGCTCTTGCTTCCAGAAGCAAGTAAAATTTGCGAGCAACTGACATGTAAAAGACCACTGTGAGATGATTTGATCCGGTGTGCAGCTGGTTTTCAGCATGTAGTCTGAAGCTTAGAGGCTGTTTTTTTACCTTACTGTTTATATTGTGTTTTGAGAAACAGAAACACTGTCACTCATCAAACAAGGAAACAGTTAAGAACTGGCAAGTAAGATAAAAATACTACACAAAATAGACTTGGCCATGTCTTTTGAACCACATGACTGTACAGCAACAGTCATCTCATTTTGGTGAATTTTTCTATCCCTCTGACCTCAGATGTCACCAGTACCCAGAATCCCGCACTGATACAGGACAGTAGATAGGCAGGGCTGTAGTCACCTGATGCCTCACTGCAGGTCTGGACTCCAGGAGGGCAGCCAGCTGACATGCCCTTTGTTCAACATTCTCAGGCACTTGGTCATCAGAAAATAAACGAGGAGATCTCTGTGAGGTGAGGAAGGAGGAAGTAAACAAACCAGCAAAAAAAGCCCCAAAAGGAACAGACACCAAAATGCCAGATAAAAGGTATGAAATCCACATGCAGAGCAGTAAGGAGGAGCACCCATGTGAAGACTGTTTTATTTCCAGTAAATGGAGATCATTTATTTGTAATGTCTACTGTTCTAATGAAGTGCTAAGTTTTGACCCTCAAGGCCAAGAAAAAACAGTTGAATTAGTTGTTATTCACAAGTCTCCTATTTAGGACTGCAGCAGCCAAAACTAAACAAGCATGTGGCCTCTCTCTCTCTGGCATTACCATAAAAAAAAAAAAAAAAAAAAAAGGTGGCTTTATCATGCATAAAGGAGCTTACTTGCCAACTTATTTCACCATACTTCTTGATTTTCAAAGATTTCCTTTACATATCTAAACCTGCACATACTTGTGTTTCTCAGATCTCGCGCACAGAAACATTTTTTTTAGGGCAATGTACTTCTGTTCTCGTAAAGAATGAGTTCATCTCCACTGGTATATGAAAAGCAAATTCTATACTTAACAAAGAGAGGATGTTTAATGAGACTGGCTGGCTGAAACAAAGCACAGCAAAATCAAACTATCACAGAAGTTGCTAGTTTTACTTCTGCAGCTTCACTGCCCTACTTGTTCTTATGGCACTGTCACGTCAACACATCCCCGGCCCAATATTTGACACCTTTGCTATTCTGGTCTTTCATATCAGTCTTAGATCATTGTGTGGTATACTTAGTGACATGGAAAAAAGGCCTGGCTAGTGGCCTGTTGAACAGGACAGGAGTACTACCTGAAATATCATGCAGCCTTCAGCTAATTTGTTTGTAGAGTTCAAAAGGAAACGGACCAGGAACTACAAACGTGTGCATGAAGAAGTGTCAGGTTCGATCTGTCAAGAATGCCAGGGTGCTGCTATGCATTGCTAATTGTCCTCCAAAGCAGAACAGAAAATTCACACCTAATTTATGAGAAATACTTTTCCCATTCAAATGCATTAATAACACTCTCTACTTCCAGCTGCTTTCAGTTCCACCTACTCCTTCCTGCTCAATCAGTTTAAATAAAACTAGGGCCTGTTATAAAGCTGTGGGCTTCTGTGTCACTGCAGACACACACTTACTCATTTTCTACTGCCTGTTAGAAAACATTCAGCCCACAAGAGTCTTTTGTTAGAACACATTCTGAAAGTTTTATAGCTAACTACCACTTATGACTTAATTCATTCAAAGCCTTTACTGGAATGTCAATTAATTTGTCAATATGAATTCAAATCAACCAGTTCTTCTGACTGCCTATCTTTTCCTTTCCCATGCTTCTGTGTAATACTGAGCCATTCAGATAGACCGTTGAATATTTCATTGTTAAGAAGGCTTCAAAGTCTCTGTGCTAAATAATGCCTCATCATTTTTCCTTTTACTTTGGCCTGTAGGAGGCAGGATGGAATGCCAGTTGTTCAACCATCCAGAAAGCAAGCAGTGGAAACAATGCAACCACATTCACATGAATTAGCCCAAAACATAACTCTTCCTGTTCTGCTACAGCCACAGCATACTTCAATAAAGAGGTGTAAGAGAAAAGGAAGAACGGGAAGAGCTTAAGCACTAGATCTACAGCAAAATAAAAGCATATTGCTGATGAAAGCTTGTTATGCATTTATGTGGGTATCATACAGAAATAATCACTCCTAATTGACTCTCAGCAGCTACAGCGTGTTAACAGCAGCATTAGGATAAGTGTGTTTCACTACCCAGTACATTTGTTCTCTGTATTACACACATCCACCACAGCCTTGTGTCATCAGCATCCATGCCATTTGTTCATGCTCTTTACCCTTTCCTGTCTGGGACTCTGCTCCCCGGGATAGTCAGCACCAGGTTCTCTGTTTCTCTGCAGGCAAAAATTATGAACTTAATAACAACCACCAAACAGCTTCCTAATCAAAACACCCTTCCATCTGATTTTTCTTACGATGCAGGCAGAAGAGAGGCCATAAAGACAACAGAACATTTTATTAAGAAGAATATTCTAAAACTGGCAATAAGAACTTGGATCC